TATTGGAGATGGGAAGGGGAGGGGAGGTTGGGGGGTGGGCGGAGGAGAAAGATCTTTATAGTTAGCCTCTTGATGTTTATAGCGTGTGCCAATATCCTATTTTTCTTGAGAATCCACAGATTGACCTCGACCATGGTTTTGGAAAAAAAATATTAAGAATGGACGTACTTCTTCCTCTTTTACGAATAGATTATAACAGCATTGATATGTATGTGTACAAAGAAAGGAAGAGAGAGCAAAGCATGTGATTATTTATGTTTGAATTGGACTTGTAGATATCAGGAAAATTTACCTGATCCATAAGTTCAGATCTTGGAAGTTGTTTTATTCATTCTTGAAACATTTTATCTGAATCATCTTATTTTTAAAAATGGTCTTGTTGTAGTATCTTACCAGATTGGTCTGATCATAATATTTCTGCTATATATCAGATATCAGGAAAGTTTACTTGATAAATAAGTTTGAATCTCTGAAGTTGCTTCATCATTTATTAAATTTGCCGTTTGAATAATCATTTTATTTTCAAAATGGTCTTGTTTTAGCATTTTACCAGCTTGTTCTGGTTTTTTTAATACTTGTGCTGTGTATTTCAGCCTCTGTGTTTCTCCTGTCGTCTGTGAAGTCTTCGGATAAAGCAAGGAATATGATCATCAAAGAGCTGCAGCATGAGGAGACAAGCCAAAGGATCAATGCTGTTCTCAGGTGGTGACTGGGACTAAACTGTCGGAGGCTGACAAAATGCCTTTTTTTCCTTCACGTCAGTTTAGAGAAAAGAGGGTTTTTTGTCAGCGTAACCCTTTAAAAATAGAGTGATCCTGAAGTTTTAATTCTAATTTATTCAAAAATAGGCACAGTTTCTCTTTGATTTTTTCACACAAGTAGGATAACTGATCAGGCGTTCAATTTCGCAAATAAAAACCTTTGGCGCCAAAATGAAGAAAGGCGTTTTGTCAGCTTGTGGCAGTTAGGTGTTTGTCTGTTTGTTTCTGTCTTTCCTGTCTCTGCTTTGTCCTAGTGTGCTTCCAGGGAAGTCGAGAATGTCTCTGAGTGTTTTGGGGTCTGCTGGGGTAATAGCAGTTGTATAGAGTATGCTGTTGAGTGCTGATGTGCACTATATAAATGCAGTTATTATTGTCACTATAATAATATTGATGGTCCCTGGTACTGGTTCCTTAATTATTTGAGTGACAGACAGACATTCTTGCTTATTGGGCAGTTCCATACATGCACAGTTGGCTGACCCAGGGTATTGGCTAGTACAAGAACAGAGTTATGTAAATTGCTCTTCTTCTGTCCTTCCAGCGTTATTAAAAAAGAAAATTTCATCTTGAATATCTCTTGGTTCTGAATTTAAAAAATATATATTTTTTTTTTTTAGCATATTAGCGTATTATCTCTGTACACAATGGGGAGGCTGATGAATGATGATGAGATCAGAGACCTTTTTCATTGCGACAGTGAGGAGTTTTTATATAACATACATTGGCTTTCTGGAAATAAAATTGGCAACTTTTTGGTGATATTGCTTGCCGTGAACAAATTCTTCAAATGAACGAATGATGTACACCCAAATTTCGGTTGTCAAGTCTACCTGCTTATATTCTCCTATATTTCCTATATGGGATGTTATATTGTAATACTTTGTTTCATTGTTTTGTTTTGCGTACAGGTTTGGAGCCCTGTGGAAGTTCCGTTACCAAGTGTGGCCTCGGATGGAAGAAGGGGCTAACATGTACTTCAAGGTAAGCATCAGTGAAATTCTGAGGGGGATTTAACATGTACTTCAAGGTAAGCATCAGTGTAATTCTGAGGGGGATTTAACATGTACTTCAAGGTAAGCATCAGTGTAATTCTGAGGGGGATTTAACGCAAGCACCAAACAAAGAAACAAACTAACATCAAGACTAAACCTGCACATCGTTCTCAACATTTCATCTTCATTGCCATCGTCATCATCAACTATTTCCGAAGAACTTTCTTGTTTTTGTTTTTTACTGTGTTGACACATTTTCTAGGTAACTTGTTAATATCTGGCTCCAAATCAGGACATAGGACCCCCCAAAAAGTACCGATGCATTGGAAATGATACGTAAGGTCTGTTGGGAATCTAAGGCTCACTCTTTGAGCTTTGGTCTCATCAATGAGCTAATCTGTAATGAAGAATAATTTAG